TACTATAATTCTATTTGGGTTCTCCCAAAATCTAGCTCTGGGCCTCATTTATTCTGTACACAGGAAATAGCAACAAGATTGGCAAAACATTTTAATTGTGATCGTCTGAACAATTGCTTTGGAGTTTAATCTTCCATTAGTAATGATCATTTAAAGGAAAAGTTGAAAGTTCTCAGTCTCTGATGGAAACCTTTTATGGTCAGATTTTGATCAGCCTTTATTGCTTCATCTAAACCTCTTCCTTAGTTCTCTTTGGCGAAGACTATATTCAATAGCTGTTGGGTTTTTAGTAATTATTAGACCATATACTTTTTTACTGTAGCAATAACACTGCCCTATAAGTGCACATTAATTATTGCTAAGTTGCTATGCAATTGATGTCGATGCCAATTTTGCTCTACATTCACTCTAAAAGGAATTGTCGGGATTTGTTCTGCAGCCCATACTCATTCTCACTCAGCCAAATCACCCACTGTTTTAAAGGGCTATGTAAGGACATTAGGATTGGGGCCCATGCTAGACAGCCTCTTATTTGTTTACTGTTTCTTGCTGTAGCCTAAAGCTTTGGCAACTACCAATGTATTCCAAACAGCAAAGCAAAACCCTTTTTTATAGTAAACATAACTCCTGATCTGGTGAAGACTCACCAGCAGTGGGGGTTATTTTAATGGACATGCTGTATTACTTTAATCTAAGCCTTTCACCATCTGTTCTGCCTATAATAGTGAATGCAAAAAGAACATATTTTACATTTCAGGGTTACATTAGTAAAAAGTAAGATAAAAGTGATTTAAAAGCATGCATATGTTCTTAGTACAATGCAGCCCGCATCTGTGATGTTTTTTCTCATGGCTAAGACACAAATCAAGAGGAAAAGCTGCTAACGCCTCATCTAGTGAAAGTTTTTCATGGAAAAGAGGACTCCACTCTGAGAGGATTTCACTATATATTTAACAGTTTATAATGATAAAAACCTGAGCAGGCTGCCAGGAAATTAGATAACTGTAACATCCATTGCATGAACATCTGGCATTGTGAGTAAAGCTGGCTGTTGTTGCTATCTATGGAAGGATGAGGGCTGAGGCCAATGGGACACTTGTATTCAGTATTATGGAATGAGAGGTCAGGTGTGTGTCTGGTGGGAGAAAGTGGCAAAAAATATTGTAGCCTAATACATTTTTATGGCCTCTCTTAAACTAAGCTTTAGATAGCCATGGGAGGATTGATTTCTTCCTCTTTCTACCCCCAAAAATAAAACCCTCCCGAAAATTCTCCTGGGATAAAAGGAGCATCAGTGAGTCCAAATGATCCCTCACTGGGTGGATGCTAATCCTCTGATCACTTCTCATCAGGCTGGCACACTGAACTAGCACTTTGGAAGACAGCTCTAGTGTCTGGAAGTGCCAGGTCAGTCTGTCAGGAGCTGGCAGCCCAGCAGGAAGCAGTTGAAGGACTGGAAGTGGTCTTGAAATAGATCATTTGAATTCATTGTTGTTCCTTTTCTGCCAACAATATTTTTAGCTGTGGAAGGTGTGATTGATTTCAGGCGTTGCCTCAGGCCAAAGAAGTCCTTCATCTTGTCCCAACCTTTATCTCCTAATTTGATTAGACAAGCCACATGTCTAAAAAGTACTGCCTGAGAGCAGACATGGAGAAAAATGAGCAAAGTTGAAAACTTTCAATTATGCAGGAGCAGTTTCTTTACAGAAAACAATGGTTTCTCTGCTTGTGATTGGCCAGATTGCTATTGAAACCAAATTCAGTTTTCTGTGCCCTTTCATCACCTGGGCTAATTGAGCCTAATTCTAATTTGAGAGGAGCCATTTTCATTTTTATTTCAACAGAGCTCAGAGCTGCTGCTTTACAACCCCACTAAAACTACCACTGAGGAAAGTCACACTTACCCACATAAGTGATCCCACCTGTGAACATCATGTTCCCAGAAGACATAAGGGTGGGAAGGCAGCAGTAGAGTCAGCTTGACAATGCCAATTGGAGAAGCTTTAAAAGAAAATGTTTTAGGTTATGTCTGCCTGGGCTGTGGACTGAGGATATGCTGTCATATACAGGCAGGCTTTCTAGATCACAACCACAAATAACTCATTATGTTAATTTAATTTGGCCCAGGGCCTAGCAGCTCCAGGTCAGGTCTCAGATGACCACCTTTTACATCAAGTACAAAATCTTGCTATTTTTGGTTACTTGGCTATATGGCCATTACCTGGTGCATTTCTGATACATTGGATATGTGCCCTTTGGGATGGTTCCCTGCTCTGTGAGATATGTGTGTGAGACCTGTTGAATTCACTCTTATTTTTACCTATGTGAAGAAGATCCCCACAGAAGTCAAACAAATTTTCATTGCAACCTAAATATATCATTAGGGACAAAAACTCTTTCCATGTTGGTAGCAATGTAGCTGCATAATAGAGCCAGGAGAAAAAAAATGCCCATCAAAGCTGAGCAAAATTTGGAATGTTCACCCTGTGAGAAATTCTAACGTTTCAACATTTTATTGTCATCCCAAATTAGAATGAAAAGTTGAAATTTCAAAAACTTTTGTGGAACAGAAATTCTGAAAAATTGCTATTTGGAAATATTGAAATGTAACATTTTGACATTTTTGATTGAAATGAAACAGTCTGAATTTGGGAATGTCAAAACACTTCATTTCTAGTCAGTACAACATTAAACTGCATTTTCCCATTGTGGAGCATTGCCTCATGGGAGTAGTGGTTTGGGAACCTGATGCCCCTACTCCCCCTTCCTATGGAAAATTTCAGTTTTCCATTGGAAATTCATTTTGACAAAAAATTCCCAACCAGTTTAATGCCAATTATTTTTCATGTGAAATCATGTTTTTTTCAAAAAAGTATCTTTTTTTAAAATTAAAACACTGAAACCATTCTATTTTTGGTAAAAAAAAAAAAAAATCAGTTTTTGAAAACCACAATCCAAAAACTGAACCGAAAAGCATTTTTTATTTTTAGTGAAAACTTTTACCAAAGCATTTTCAATTTTTTTGGTTTCCATTTTTGTGTGGAAAAAAATGAAAAAAACATGACCAAAATAAATTTTTGTGTGAAAACTTTTGTTTTAATTGAAAAGCCTATTTTTGTCAATTTATTTTTTTATGAAAAAATTTCAAAACAAACACTATGTCCTTGTCACAGAAAAGTTTGAGGATGTTCGTGCTAGGAAGAGCAGAGAAGAGTTTATTTACTGGCTTGGCACACAATGCTACATCAATTAACAAAAATTCACAGCTAACTGAAGTCCATTTATGTGAGCTAAGGTAGGGTAAAGTATAATATCATGATATTATATCCCAACTAAGGGCTGATCTTAGCCAACAAAGGCCGAGAATCCTATATCCCCGGCTCAGAATGTTGGCTGGTTTTCCAGACTGGTTTTAAAGGGACTAATTTATTGCCTCTTGTTCCCTCACTCTAAAACCCTATATATCTGAAAGGGTCTGGTGTCCCCTAAGACTGTGAGATAAATAGGGTTGTACTGGACTGTTAGTCATTTGCTCCACCCTGCATATCTTCTGCCCATAAGTCTGTATGTAGGTCTTTTGCATTGAATTTTCTTTTGTGAACAAATAACAAAACATGAGTGGGCTATGCAAAGCTGCTAGCATTTCTTGGTTAGACTCATGTTAGCCTTTTTGTCAGCAAACAGAGTTCATAACTCAAAATGCTGCAGAAATAAGCAATTAAAAACACACACACATCCCTGCCCCCCTCCCTGACCAAATAGTTCCACTGCTGGAGTTGCACAGATGGTTTAACTTTCCTGAAGTCAAACATATGGTCAGTAGTTTTGATTGGTAAGTGCATTGACCTTGATTCTGTTTGATAATGAGGAGTTTCATAGCAACTCAGTTTAATGAAAGAGAAGGTAGCTTATGTTTTTAGGAAAGAAATTTGATTTGTACCAAAAGAAAGGTTACTGGGTATTTACAGGGGGAGTGAGAGGAGTTGAGAATTACAGGTTCTTTTAAGCATATTGATTTGGGGCATTGATATGCAGTACTAGAGAGATGAGAGTTGCATGTTTTGGTCCCATCCCATTCCATGATCTTGGCTATAGCTGATGTAAGAAAATGATCCACAAGTTTTTATGGCAAAAATTAATAGAAAGATACATAAGCGGTAATAAGCATTATTTATTCAGAAAAGCATCCAGAAATTCATATGCTTATCCAAAATTTAGCTTTACCTTTAACTCCCTCCAAGCACAACCCTCCTTGCTCCAACTGGCCCCATATCTCTTCCTCCCCCTTGATAGGTCCTGATTCTGTCTGCCCTTTTTGTTCTCCTCCCCCACCATCCAGTATTGTTCTCAAGTGGGGATGACCAGATAACCCTCTTCCCCTGCTCTGGTAAATGGTCTCCAGTAGTTTGTTTCCTTGCTCTCATGCAGGAGGGCAGTGTAACCCTTTGAGGTCCTGCTGATCCACTGCTTTAAAATTGAGGAGCACTCTGGAGCTTTTCTCCACAGTATTTTGAAATCCCTGAGTGCACCGGAACCTTCCTTTCCATCAGCAGTAGGTGAGAAAGGAAACTCTGAGAAGACCTGCCACCACAGGTAAGAAAGTGAGATATGTGGAAGGGACAGGGATCATGACATAGGAATTTCAAAACAGGTTCAATTTTGGTTTGGAGATGAGCGCGTGTTCAGGGTGAGAGGTTATTTCAATCCATTTTAAAACCGCTTTTGAATGGAAGAAGGGAGCTGAATTATTGAACATCAGTGTTGAATTTGGTGAGCTAGACTTTACATGTCATAAGAGGGCTTTTTAAATGGGGGAGTGGGATTTTTCAGACTTTTCTGATGTCTGCCTTGTTGGGTATAAGCTCATCACAGAATGCTGTACAGGGAAAGACTGTGAGATGAGTCCCCATCAGAAGAAGAGCAACCTTTCCCCCAGTCTAGTTGCTTATGTTGTCTTGTTCAGGTTTAGTTATGCCTCTGCCTTTCCTTTTGTGTTACAGTATTCTGGATTTCACACAGAAAGATCTGAATCTGACCATGAGAGCCAATGGGGTGGAAGTCCACTAACTGATACTGCCTCTCCACAATTACTGGAACCTGCTGAAAGGCCAAGCTCTCAACACCATGATGTCTCCTGTGCCTATAGACAGTACTCAGACCGCAGCTCTCTCTGCTATGGTTTTGCACTTGACCATTCCAGGTTGACTGATGATAGACATTTCCATACTCAGGCCTGTGAAGGAGGCAGGTGTGAGGCTGGTAGATATTTCCTGGGCACACCGCAGCCTGGAAGGGATACTTGGTGGGGTTCTCGTTCAGCATTGCCCCTGACAAAAACTTCCCCTGAAAGCAGAGAAGCATATGAAAACAGCATGCCCCACATCACTTCAGTTCACAGGCTCCATGGTAAGAGATAATTGCTGAAATGGTGCTATAGCAGTACAGAGGCAGATTTTCAAAGGACTGACTTAAACATGCCCAACTTGTATACGTGTGACTCCTGATGTGTGTGCTCAAGTCAGGGTTTAAGTGTATGAACTGGGAGTTGTGAAGGTGCAAGTCTGAGTTTTGATGAACTAGCCTAAATAATAAAATATTCTATTTGTTCCATATTTTTTTAACTGTGAAATTTAGTTAGGAACACATAATAAGTGAAATTTTAGCAAACGTGAAGAGGTGCACTTAGCATACATATTTTATTACCTTGAGTGAAGGCTGTGCAAGTTTGGATAGAATAAGAACTAACCCAAACTTTTATCCAGAACCAAACCTAAATTTAATATGTTCTGTAGTTTGGAAAAAAATTGGAGATTTCCCCCCGCTTTTTTTACTTTTTAAACTTTTGATCCCTTCCACCGGTCCTCTCTTGGACTAGAAGTAAATATGCTGGGGAAAAAAAATAACAACAACCAAGAAAGACTGTTTTCCAAGTAATTCCAGGCAAGGAGTATTGGAAACTTCAAAAGAAGCCCTGATCTTGATTTGATAGAGTCAAGAGGTTTGGATAAAATTCACATAAACACTCAGAATACCAGGTGCTTATCCAAACCAAATTGTACTTCCAAACTTTTTGAGCATTATCCATCACAACCTACCTTGTGCTGCAGATGTTTCATATACAAATTAGCAATAATAATAATAATAAAAAAAATGCCATGAGAAGCATAGAGATCATTATAGACATTTGTGGCAGTCCAATGTAGCAGTAGTTGTGCATATTGAAAAAAGAACTGGATTGCAGCACTAGGTATTACCTAAAGAACCCATGAGAGCACTGAGCCAAATCCTCAGCTATTGTAAATTGGCATAGCTCCATTAACTTTTAGCATGTGGCATTATAAGTTTAGAAAGAATAGGTACTGTTTCATTCCAGTAAGAAAAAAAATATGCCGAGAGAGAAAATGAAAGAGCAGATTCAAGGAAATACAGTCTGAAAGAAAGAGAAGGAAGAATAGAGGCCTCTAATTTGCTTTGGTTAGTACTGTTCTGCGGCTTTCTCTTTGTGATAAGCTATTGCACTTCCTTGTATTCTGCTCCCTAATACTGATATTCATGAGTTCATCTAGCTTTTTCTTCCCAATATGAAAACTGAGACGTGTGAGTTGATTTCACAGTTATAGACATACACTTTGATATATATATTTCTCATGTTATAATTTTTGGTGATCACGCTAATGGAGTAATGTAAAATATTATTTATGGACATAGTGTAGTTCTTACAGATATGTTAAAAATATATTTATCACTTTTTTACCACAGAAAATCAAAGAAAGCCGAACATAGAGCTTGGTTTTGATTTGCTTCTTAGTTTAACTTTTATTCCAGATGCTTCAGATAATTCCTCATTGTATGAAGCTCCACAGATCTATTACAGTGGATCTTCAGCCTGCATGTAGCTTTGGGGGCAGAACCAGACCTGTCAGTCACTATCAGGAAGGGAATGTCCCATGTTCTGAAGAACCTACCAGTTTCATTCTGCCTCCACAGTTGCAGACAGGCAGTTCCAAACCACACTACTGCAGAGCATCAGTCTTTCCCCAAACAACCTCCCTTTGAACTGACTGGACTTAAAACATTTGAACTTTGCTTCCAGAGCTGCTTCTTTGGGTAAGAATGTGATTTTTCTCTTCTCTCTTTCTGAGGTGTACTTGAGTGGTGCATTGTCACCCATGCACAGGCTAATAATGGTGGTCAAAGCCAAGAAGGGGAAAGCAAAATTAATGTGCCTTCTACACTTCTCCCCTCTTTTTGTGGGCAGGCCCCTCAGTAATGGTTCATTCCAGGCAGGAGTCACCTAGGCCTCTTGTGACAGGGCAGGCCATACTGGAGAAATAGCAAGTGGCAACTCCACATCTACTCCCCACAAAGATCAGCACCAGAAGACCAGAGCACTGAAGGAGGCAAGGAAAGGTACTTCCAAACTACTGGAATCAACCTCTTACATCTCCTCAGAAAAGACCACACAATATTTCTCCTCTGGATCTAAACTGGAACCATACATCCCTCTTCATGAAGCCCTGGAGGATGTCACAAACAAGACAAAAGGTTCTAAAAAGTCTACATAAAATGTGTTGTTTCTCCCCCAAATGAACTCAGCTCTTTTCTTTCTTGTAAAGGACATAGCAATTCCCACAAAGGGAGATTTTCTTCCAAGGGTTCCATGGACTGGACAATTGATTCATGCCTTAGAAGAAATTATGAGGCCAGTTTGGCCAACCTTGAGGGCTTCAGCTGCCTCCAAATATTTTGCCTGCTCTACCTTTTCATGGACAGATATGTTTTAGCATCTCATTCTCCTCAAGACCAAGGAAGCTTGTGGTCTAGGGACCTTTGTCTGAAAAATCTTCTTGGTGACAGAATTGGTTTTAGATGCATCCCTTGATGCACTACATTTCTCAGCAAGAACAATAGGTTACAATACAATGTTCTGCTTCTGGTTTTCCTTGTAGAACGCACAAGTGCAAGAGAACATCTCTCATGTGTTTCAAAATACTCTGTCAGAAAGCATTTTGGAGAACTGACAAACTACGGGGGACGGGGGGGGGGAAGAGGGGATTGGAGTATTTGGAGAAGACAAAAGAACACTAGCCTTTCGTAGGCAGTAAAGAAGAGAGAAAAAGCCACATTTCAACAGTAAAAAAGCCTTTCCTTGTACAACTAGAGGGACAACCCCTACAGCAGAGAGAGAAAGAACAGACTGGAGGAGGTTGTAGTTTATCAGACAATAGCCAGCCTCCTTAATATCATATCCTTTCCAGTGTGCAGAACTGGTCACTGTTCATATTGGATAAACATGTCCTGGACCTCTCCAGAAGGAATGCTCATTAGAATTTCATAAGAGACCTAGATACAGATTCATTTTCTACTCTAACTCAATCTATCCAGGAAAGAAATGGGACAGGAAGAAGCTATTTACACCTTCTCCCTATAGATAAGGGGCTATGGAATCAATCTCCTTTTACGAGGAGGGCAAAGACCTATACTCCATCCTGTTCAAAAAGAGTCAAAAAGAGATCGGGCAGAAGCAGAGAAGTGCTGGATTTTAAACATTTGAACACATTTAAAAAAAAATGGAAATTCAAGATGGAGACTCTGAAATTCATCCCAGCAATGATCAGCAATAATTTTCTGTTGCTTGTAGTCAAAAGGAGACATAAGTCCATATTCCACCATTACCATCCCACAGAAAGTTATCATGCTATGCCAAAGGATAACATCACTTCCAACACAAGTCCTTACCTTTTGGATAGTATGCAAAGACACTAGTGGTCCTAATAATAGCTCTCAAACAAGAAGGGGGGAACCATATTTATCCCTTCCTCAGGGTCCCATCCAGAGCTAAATTGATACTAGATGCTCAGTGTAAGATTTGGATTCCAAATAAGCATAGGGTGATATTCTTGGAGGAGTAGCAAGACAAACTGTAAATACTCATACAGGAAGTGAGTTGTACTACAGTGCCTCTAGTACAGTCATTCATGTTCCTCTTGGACATGATAGCATTGTACATAGATACACTACAGTGGACCACAGGCAAACTGAGAACTCTCCAGAATTTTCTTCAGTCCCTTCCATATTCCATATTATCCCACCCATCAGTGAAAGTGGGAAAAGTGCTTCATAAATCAGACACAGTTATGACAATGGTGCCAGCCTGGAAGTATAGGGCACTTCTTTGGGGGTCACAGACAATCCAGGGAACATGGTCCTGGCAGAAGATGTACAGCATGAGAGCTCAGAATTATTTGTTATGGACTCAGGCAACTGGCTCTCTCCATGGACAATGGGCGTATATTGCCCACAACAGACAATATATCCACCAAGTCTTTTCTAAACAAGTAAGAACCAGAAAAGGCAAAGCTACTGTTGTCTTGGGCAGAGAAAAACTCTCAGACTTCTTGTGGGACCTTGGGCAAGTTACTTAGGGCCAGATTTTGAGCCACTTACCCTTGAGGATGAACACTTATACAAATAATCCCTTTGGGACAAATTCTGATACCTTCACTCACATTGAAGGCTTTCTCCATAAGCATCCACATGAAGCCAATGGGCCCATTTGAGAGGTAAGGGGCTGCTCACTGTGAGCAAAGGGATCAGAATCTGGTCAATAATTTTGCTAAATTTCAGTTCCCAATCTAGAAAACGGGGATATTAATTTTAAGAACGTTGAGAAAGGACTATCTTCTATTTATTCTTTGTACAGTGACTAGCAGAATGGAGTCCTAATCCTGACTGGGGACTCTGGGTGCTACTGCAGTACAGATAAATAATAATTCCCTGTTTCAGTATATTAAGGCTAAATTAATGTTTGTGAGGCGCTTGGATACTATGGTGATGGGCCTACAGCTAGCTGATGTTGCCTTCAGCAGAGTGCTCCACAGTATAATATCCCAGATATACACAGAGAATGGAGTGTATATAGTATTTGGCCACAGTTATTAACTTTATCACCCACACTAGAGGCACACTGGTGATAACATCCCACTCTCATAGATATGTGGACCTTAATACAAAGACGAATAGAAAAATTTATCTGTGCTTACCTGAAAATTTTCTTTCTTTGAGTAATAAGGTCCACAAATCCTGCCCTCCCAATTAGACAATATCGTTTATATACGCTGAGGCAAAACATAGCATTCAGTAATTTGCAGAAGTCCTTCTTGTGCTCTGCAATGGACATGTATATTAGCAGGTGTTTTACCAGTTACATTATTATATTGTCTCTGTAGTTGGGTATTATCCTTCTTGGCTGTGGAAATTCTTTCAATTGTTAGGTTCTTCAGGGGTAGGGTTACTCCCCTCCTGCCAGTGATGGATGGGTCTGGTTCCGCCCCCTCCACTGCATGCCAACTTGAACACTCCCTGTAGCAGATCTGTGGGCTTTATTACTTGAAGAAAGGGAAACTTCAGGTAAGCACGGTTACATTTTCCTATTCTAAATGTTTGAGACAACAATATTCTTGCATTACAAAACTAAGTACAGCGCTAATTTGCTATATCTGTGAACACAAAGGCAACTGTTTTGTTATTTCTCTTTGTGATTGCCAGGCAGCATGTATAATGTGCTATGTAAGGCCACACAAAAACCCAGTGTCTGGATTTATAATGTACTTTACCTACATCTTAAAGCACAGAAGGGGTTAAAAGGACACAGTCTAATAATAATAATAATAAATAATACAAATTTATATAGCCTTTTGTGGGCCTGATTTTCAGATGAGTCTCAATCCACTTTCTGATTTTCTGGATGCAAAATGGTACTTAGCCAAGTGCTGCCAGCTGTACTTGTAATTCACTGTAGGTGCTAATTACACCTCCTAATTACAGACTATCATTGAAAATCAGGCCTTTATGTTCAAAATCTGATCAAGCAGACTTTCTCCTCAGAACACCCCTCTGAAGAAGTAGCATTACCTGCATATTACAGGTGAGGGTGGTAAATGTACATTGGTTAAATCAAGGCTAGTGGTGTTAGACCCAGGACTAGAACTCAGAAAGACTGAATGGCAGTTTTGTGCCCAATTGATGTTTTATATCCTTTGCAGAAGAAATATTGCATTAAGAGCTCAAGCACAAACATTTGGGTCAATTAGCTCAATTGGCCTATCTTGACAACAACACTTATGTGGTAGGAAGAATGGTCTTAAAGTTTAAATCACTTGTCTGGGTCTCAGGGACCCGTTTTGAATTCCTGGCTCTCTCTGGGCTTCTTTTGTGACCTTGGGGAAGCCACTTAACCTCTGCTTCTGTTCCCCATCTGAAAAATGGGGAACAACAGTACTTATATTGCCTCTTGTCTACTTTTTGTGTCAGGGACTGACTGTCTTTTATGCACAATGGGGCACAGTTTGGGTCTCCAGGTGATACTGTAAAGCAAACAATAACCAGAAAGACCAATACAATCCATTGTTACATTAAAAAGAGGACTTTAGATTGTTTACCTTCTTTCTGAGATCCACACACAAACCAAAACTGATGACTTGTTCCCTTTCTTTATCTGCTCTGCAGGGAGAGGACACTGGGATGAGGACAGTGTTGTTAGCTCCCCAGATCCTGGCTCTGCTAGTGAATCAGGAGACCGATACCGTACTGAGCAGTATCAAAGTAGTCCACATGAGCCCAGCAAAATTGAAACTCTAATAAGAGCTACCCAGCAAATGATTAAAGAGGAAGAAAACAGGCTTCAGCTACAGAAAACAACCCCTGATCAGCTGGTCTCTATTAATGGAGCAGGGAAGAAGCACTCTATTTGTTTTGCAAACTACCAGCCACAGCAGTTGACAGGGGATGTCTGCCGTGTTCCTACAGTTGCCAACACCTCTCCTTGTGAACACATCCAGCAACGAGATGGAAAGCTTATGAGCCCACATGAAAATGATTATGACAACAGCCCCACAACACTGTCTAGGATAAGCAGCCCAAATTCCGACCGCATTTCTAAATCTAGTTTGATACTAGCTAAAGACTACCTGCATTCAGACATGTCCCCTCATCAAGCCACAGGGGACCATCCAGCAGCTTCTCCAAACTATTACACCTCCCACAGGCAGTACTTTGACAAGCATGCTTACACGTTAACTGGATATGCTCTGGAGCATCTATATGACAGTGAAACCATTAGAAACTATTCCTTGGGCTGTAATGGATCACACTTTGATGTGACTTCTCACTTAAGGATGCAGCAAGATCCAGCACAGGGACACAAGGGGACATCCGTTATAATAACCAATGGAAGCTGATGTTTTTTCTAAAATATTTTGTGCTCTAAAAAAATCTCTGAAATATAATTGGAAGATATATAAGTTTTAATGCCCTTGTTGTTACCAGCATTTGATATACCACACTGCACTAGAGAGAATAACCTAAGGTACTGGGGATGAGTGTGTTGACACGTTACTGTAAAAAAAAAAAAAATGCACTGGCATTCAGGGTTATAGTGAATGGAGCTAAAGTCAAAATTGCTGCCACATTATATAGAGAAGAAGATAGAGGAGGTCTGTGTTGGGAGCACATTGTGGCAGGCCAGCTGAGCAATTCATGCCTGTTGTGTTGGAGTCAGTTGATGAAAATACTGCCAAGGGCAGACTCTCTGAATTGCATGTGCCCCACAGGTCTTAGTCACCAAAACAGCTATGCATTCTTTACATGCAAAAATGTGGATCATATATCTTTTCAAAATACACATAAAATGGGTACATTAACTGATTTGTTTATTCACTAGACTCTAGCCATGTTATGTTGCTCAGTGGCATAAAGCATCTAGGACTAGCCAAAAGGAAAAAAAAAAAGAGAGAGCGAGAGAGAGATATCTTCAGAATTATTACTTTATTGAATAGCCACACACATAGTTATACACTTGCTTGACTTGAAAGACATAAATTGAGCAACATAGTTATGACTGGCTACTGGACTGCTTCCTCATGCAATATTTAAAAGAAGGAACCAGAAAGGGGGGATTTCTCAGCCTGGTTTTGAGTAATGCAGAAGATATGATTGTAACAGGAAGATACTTTGAACTGTGATCACATTCTGGATGAGTGCATGAGATGTCTGGTAAAGTGAAATGGAAGAAAATTAGTGAAGGGAAAGGGGGAAAAGGAGCTGAAATAGAGAGTGGTCCAAGATGAATTAGTTTAATCTCATAGTGATGTATACCATGTAACCAAAAATATGCTGTGAGGAAAAAAATGTTCCAAGTGGCTGAACTAATCAGGAGTGAGTTAGAACCATAGGAGGAATTGCATAAAATTACTGGAAATTTGGCTGTAAGGACTATAAAACACAACTATATTAATGTAAGGATATAAGAGACAAAGACAGACAAAGTGAAGACTGCAGGGTGACTGTGATAAATTCTGAGAAAATCTTTGGGCACATTAAGAAAGTGAAGGAGATTGTAAGGACTCAAAGTTGGAAGAGGTAACCTGTTGACTGAAGTGATGGGTGTGATTTTGAAAAAGGCATACATTCTTGTCTTGTTCACAAAGGAAAATAGGGAAGAGAGATCAGGAACAGTCATGTAGTAACCAGGGAAAGAGAAAAAAAGATACTAAGGGAAAAATCAGGGTCTTGAGAGAATATGGGGAATAAGAAACCCCGGTGTCCGATGACTGACTACAGCATCAGGGCCTGCAGGGACCTGCCTTAAATTAAGAGATGTGTCAAAGGAGGTAAGTAAATATATTTTAAAACCTTATGATCAGGGAGATACTGTTGGACTGGAGATGAGCTAATATAACACCTGCACTTAAAAAGGCAGCTAGGAAAGATCATAGTAACAGTCATTGGCACAATCCTTCAAATGATTTCAGTGGGAGCTGGACCAGGCCCCTCCTGATTATACCAACCTAGAGTATGGGCAAGAGGGGGGGATGTTGTAAAAATGAGCTGAGCACTACAGAATGGCTTGATTTGTAATGTAAAAAAGCTAGATGTATGGGAGTTTACTTTCAATGGTCATAAGACACAATCCACCAAGTAGAAGGTTGCTCGGAGAGTTTGGATAGATTACAAAAGTATCAATCTTCAAAGCAGGGCTAATCAGTAGCAAAATAATAATAATCCGGGTCACCAAGTAGAGATTTACTTGGAGACCGAGAAAATCACATAGCCAACTTGGAATACTGTTATATACAGTTCTGATCACTTTGAGGCAGATTGTGATACTCTTACACCACAAGCAATCCCATTTGACTTCAGAGTGATCATTCATAGTGAAAGATACTCTTCCAGAAGAGAAAGATGTTATAATCTGGCCTTTTTTATCTAAAGCTAATAATAGAAAAGGTAGAGCAGAACACAAAGCAGAAAGATAAAGAGAATGAAAGATCTAATAAGTGTTTAAATAAACTGGGTCTGTTATCTTCGGATAAGGAAAGATTTAGAGGGAATGTCACTGATGTGCACAAAGTTCTGCATGGAAGAGAGATTAGATAACAGTATAAGGTTATTTGGATTAGTGGCAGATATGAGCCAAGGGGCATTAAATGTTAGCCAAGGAAAAATGAGAACAAAACAAATTTGGAGAGAATTATATTAAATGAAGCCTAATAATCTGAATGAACTATAAAGGTCATAAACAGGAGCAGCTAGTATAAATAATTTGTAAAAAAGATAAAAACAAGGCAAGTATTTAATGTTGTTGGGAAAAATGCTAACAACTGCTAACTCAAAGGGGTGGATGGACCAAAATGGATTTCTTTCAGCCCAACGATTTTATATATTCCTAAAAAGTTAGGAATGAGAGGGTATTTTTGATAAGTCTAGTACTGGATACATCTTTATTTAGTTTACACCTATGAATAGTATTAACTTTTTATTTGGAGCCTCATTGTACAGTATTAAAATGTGATTTGCTGAGTAAAACAGAATAGAAATACATGCTATCATATGTCCCTTGGAAACTGCTAGTACATTACAAAAGTGACTCTAAGTAAATATGAATATTATACTAGATTACATTACGAAAGGCACCTTCATAAATGACTGTACTTCTAACACAGTTTGTTTATATTCTTCATTTAGGAAAAAAGCAAGTAAGCTATGCAATAAAGATTCCCTGTTACTATTTACTGTGATCCCATATAGAATAAAAGTTTCTAAGCAACTATTGCTAAATTAAATTTCTCCTATGCTGAGATTTTCCATAGTTTCATTCCACTACAGTGGCAAATACAGGAAGGTGCAATGTAATAAATATAACATTTAAAATAACAATACAGTGGTCTGGTGCCCTCCACCTGCAGCCATGTTGTAAGACAAGCAAGACTGACACTTGCTCATTCCCCATGCAAGATGGCAGCAACTATTGCTCCTTCTTAGTTCATCATTGTCATTGACTGGAGGCACTTGCCAGTTACGGGCTATCTGATTGGCCATCCTGCTCCCTTAAATGGCCAGCTTGGAGGGAACAATTTTATCTTAACTTCAAAGCTGGCAAGGAGCTTTTAATGTGATTTTGAAAAATTATTACAAATTATTTGTAAGCATAATTATTATGTAAGCTTAGGGACAGTTTGCAACCCTTAACTGTAGCATTCATTACTGCAAGTGGCATAACATGTACTTTCCTGTAGGGCACAAAGCTTACACTTGTTCATGACATCAGTGCTTATTGTATGACATACTTTAATGAACTTCATATTTAGTTCAACTCCCCACTTAACCTCAGTGATAAAATGTAAAAATCCTCAACATCCTTCAAGGAATGTATGTTTTAAAAAAAGAGATGAGCAATTTTGGAAAATTTGAAAATGCAAGATACAGTATTTGCTTTGATATTTTTCAAATGTTTCATATTAGATCATTGGTATCACTTTATACCTGAGACATTTTAGGGTATGTTTCAGTTCCACAAGTGCAACTAATACTATACTGATTGCACTGTAGTATGCTACCATTTGATATCATAATAGCATTATGTCAACAAACATAACAACAAGTGAATATGCTAATAAAACTGCACACTACTTATGATGACCCTTATCAAAAGCTTGTTGAAACCAATGGGAGTCTTTTCATTGAATTCAGTGGGCTCTGGATCATGCTTTCTATGTCTTTATTTGATGTTAAGAAAAGAATGGAACTGTCTCTCACTTATACACAGTTGCACTCAGTGGGCATAGTGTACACGTTTAAGGCCAGAGGCTTATACAAATTCTTAACTTAGAGTAAGAAACAGTCCTATTGGTTTCAATGGATATATTTGTGGAGTAAGGTGCTAATCTAGCAGAATCTGGCTCCTAGTGATTTGGCACTAGTTTTTTTTGTGCACATGGAAGATGTAACTATGAAAACTGTAAAGGGAAATGCCCCCCAAATGACATGTATTACTAATGCAGATTGTTTTTTCTATACATGCTTTGAATAGGTTTAGAAAAATGTGGGCAGCTCTGAACATTGGCGGGTGCCAAAGACCAAGAACATTTTGCTGTGCTTTCACCTTTTGGGGAATAGCCAACTTACTTTTTTGATGATGTTCCCACAAGTACTATCACTTGGTGTAGTACAGTAAAATCCTATTTATCCAACACTATTTAATCCACAAAGCCCTCCTCTTATCTGAATCTCAGTTATATCTCTACTGGCATGAAGCACTTATTCAATAATTTTCCTGATTACCTGAACCACCATTTATCTGAAAGGTATTGCTAAGCCCCCAAAGTATTCAGATAAATGGCCTTGTGTGGTATTTCTGCAAAACACATGGATGCACTGGAAAAGCTGACTGTCTGTTGAAGAAGCACCAACTTTTAATTGCAGCACCAAAGTCCAACAAACTCATGGCTATCAGAACGGGGCTTCAGACCTTCCATATGAAAGTTCACTTTGGCTTCAATTGGGGTTACTGCTCACAAAACAATACCAGGATCAGGGCCAATTATGGGTATTTTGGAGGCAGTTATGGTTATTGTCTGGTAGCAATGTATTTCAATTCAGGATTTTCCATGGAATTCTCTTAAATTTACACATAGCAGCATAGGGTCGAATCCTGTTCCTATTGAAGGAAATGGAAGTTTTGCTACTGACTTCAATAGGAACAGGGTTGAGGAATTTACTTCCACACAAAAATGCATGCTGGTTAGCCCCAAAGTAATCCAGACTGCGATATTCAGGTAACTAGAACACCTATTTTATATATTGTTTTATTAAAAATGGCTATTAAGTAATCTGAGTGTCTGCAGTAAAAAAACCCAACAGTGCTGTATTATCACTCTGGTACCATATACATCATTCTGTTTGTTGTGAATAAGGCCCCCGGAGCTCATGGGTTAGCAAAATATTTTTACTGCTCAATGCTCCAAAGGGAATTATTATTTTGGACAAGGAAAATTAAGTAGCATTTTCTGCAGAATGATGAGTGACAGTGTAGCTCCCTTTCACAGAAAGCATCCTTGGAGTGTCTGACAGTAAAAAATTACATGCAAGGAAATTTAACTCTAGTGTTCAGTTCATGCACACAAGAGTTCTGTGGATAAATCTTGGCTCCAACTGGTAAGAATGCACCCCTTTCTGAAAGAAGGGTAATTTATGGCTCCTGACATGAGACTATACATGAAAGGAAAGATCAAATATATAGGCATTATAGGAAGAAACAAAGGTTTTTTGGCAGGTTGTATCCACTATTTAACCTCTCCTTTCAAATGGTAAACATAGGATTCTAGGGTTTAAAATACAATTTTTAAACATTTTTATTTATTGAAATTTTGACTACATGTGATTTTGCTCTTAGACACTAAAAAAGTAGGACATTTGGAAACACATAAAATAATCTTAACCCATTATAAAACAGTACAGCAGTTCCATTTCTAAATAAATAAAGTCAATGGGGAAGAGTTCTTTTAAAGCACTGTAATTTTTTCCCAATGGTAAACATTTCAGCACATAAAACTAGAAAAAGGCACTTCAGAAACAATGACATGTTCATATTTGTTTTGACGAGCATATTTAAAAAACCCAACCAAACCTCAACTCCCCAAACCCAATGGATTATATTTATGAAAAAAGACACAGGTTGCCAACATTTCAAATGCCATGCCTTGCAATGTATAGGTTCTAGTGACACTGTAGCATAACATCTGTAATTTGAAGTTTTCCTTTGGAATGTAATGTAGGAAACACAATTTAGCTATGTTAACAATATCTTGCAAAGTGTTCCCATTTATAATTATTTATATTGTAAATAGCTTTCTGAAGTAAATTTGAAGTTAATGTGCATAAGATGTATTTATTATGTGAAGATTTTTTTGGTTTAAAATATAGTTACCAATATGCAGTTTTTGTCTGGTTTCATGAGTTTTTAAGCAAAGGACAGTCCTTTACATGGAAACATTTTCAAGAATGAATTTTAATCAGCTTATGAATACCTCAGAATTTAAAGGCTGTACAGGAGAAATTACTTAATTGGATTCCATCGGCTTTATATTTGAACAAAGTGTATTGAAATGGTAGGTAGCACTGATGGCACGTGCCTTTGCAATTCATTGAATCTGAATGAAGCATAGTTACGTTTTATTCTTCATTTATAATTTGCAGTTTATAATCCACTTAAAATACCAAAACCAAGGACCACTGGACACTAGGATATGGCGAGGCTGAGACATACCAATAACTCGCCAGTTATTTGCAATATTATACACACTGTTTTAGCATTTGTATTATGGCTGATGTACTGAAGTGCAATCCACTGCCAATGCCCAGTTCCTGGTATGACTGGGTCTTCCCCTGTCCCTGGAAGCTTTGGTGGCTGCAATCCACCTGTCTCACCTTACCTGAAGTCCCTGCAGCTGCAAAGGGAAGGCACTATTGCAGGCCTTTGTGGGGGTAATTAAGATTAGTTGCACAACATCTAGGGACACATGCTTCCTGCAGCTACAATCCCCCCATGCTACCTCTGCTTCAAGCCCAGCAGTGGTTGTTCTGGAGAATGGCAGTTCTGCAGAAAAGGACCCGGGGATTACAGTGGATGAGAAACTGGATAGGAGTCAACAGTGTGCCCTTGTTGCCAAGAAGGCTAATGGCATATTGGGCTGCATTAGTAGGAGCATTGCCAGCAGATTGAGGGAAGTGATTATTCCCTTCTATTTGGTACTGATGAGGCCACATCTGGAGTATTGTGTCCAGTTTGGGGCCCCCCCACTACAGAAAGGATGTGGACAAATTGGAGAGAGTCCAGCAGAGGGCAACAAAAATAATTAGGGACCTGGGGCACACGATTTATGAGGAGAGGTTGAGGGAACTGGGCTTATTTAGTCTGCAGAAGAGAAGAGTGTGGGGGGATTTGATAGCAGCCTTCAACTACCTGAAGGGGGGGTTCCAAAGAGGATGGAGCTAGGCTGTTCAAAGTGGTGGCAGATGACAGAACAAGGAGCAATGGTCTGAAGTTGCAGTGGGGGAGGTCTAGGTTGGATATTAGGAAAAACTATTTCACTGGGAGGGTGGTGAAGCACTGGAATGGGTTAACTAGGGAGGTGGTGGAATCTCCATCCTTACAGGTTTTTAAGGCCTGGCTTGACAAAGCCCTGGCTGGGATGATTTAGTTGGTGTTGGTCATGCTTTGAGCAGGGGTTTGGACTAGATGACCTCCTGAGGTCTCTTCCAACCCTGATATTCTATGATTCTATAATGGTTAAGTTGGTTTATTAGTTGGGTATCAAGTAGGAGGAAGAAGGATTCTGAGCCAGAAGGTTGGAGTGGAAAGATAAAAACCTGAGGGTGGGGAAAAAAGGTTTCTGAGCATGAGATGGGAGGAGTTGTGAGTTTGGGGAGGGTGGGAAGAGGTGTCCTGAAGCATGGTGCTGTGGGGAGAGTTAAGAGCTGGGGAGAAGGGTTCTGACCTATGAGAAAGTTGGGAAGGAAAGGTGGACATTCTAAGGTAGGGTTTGAGGGAGGGGCTAAACTTTGGGGGTGTGGTTGGATGAGGTGTTTTGAGCAGTGATTGTTGTTTTGGAGGTAGTCTAGAAGATTTAGGGGGCTATGTAGCTGGGAGGAGGTGATGGAATGAGTGAGGTGAATGGTGGTATGTGTGAATGAAGGGACATGGGTGAGTGGAAGCTGGTAGGATAGGAGCTACCTTGGAGTGGGCCAGAGAGAATGCTGGAATTGGAAGAAAACTGACAGTCATAGAGGGTGGACACTGTTTCATCCACTCCCATTCTTACTGTAAAATGTCACAACTTTTCAGTGTGGAAAGAGGAGTGGGAAGTGGAGGAGCTGGGGAAAGAAGGAGGGGGTCTTTTCTTCCATTGTCCCCATTAGCTGCCCTCATGCCTCACCAAAATCCTTTCCCAGGACACCTCTCCCTGGTGCCCCAATTTTTTTACTTTGAAAATCTGCTTGCATTAGAAAAGCAGCTTGCATTAGAAAAGTAGGATACATGAGAGTGAGGGCTGCTGGTAAGGAGGCAGTGGGGCCTCTAGTTCCTGCAGCCCCATCAGTTATTTTGGGCACATTTTTTTAGGTTACTACTTTGTGAGACAGTCAAATAACAAAAGTTATGAGAACTCTGTGACCTTTTACTGTCATATTCTTACCTCTGGGTGTAAGCTGAGGGGGCACTTAAGGCTGCAAAATCATCTCAACAAAGTGTCTTGAGCAGTTACAACTGTCCTGTAAAAACCTAAATATTGATTTATTTTAATAGGAAAGCAATTAATTTCCTGTGATTTGTCCCTTTAATGTGGCTTTTCCAATCATTGGCAGCACCCTCAAGCTTGCAAACAGCCTCCACCTTTTTGTGTGGCCCATGCAAAGGTCTGTCACAATTGCAGTCCCTACGGTTCGTGGAGCACAGGGACTACTTTGATAGTGTGGTATGGGGGTCAAAGAGCACCCCAAAGGGAGCAGAGACACGTGGAGAAGTGGCCCTCTGCACAACAGCCAATGGAGTAGACCAACTACAATGGCACCATCCTAAAGAATGTACCAGACCTTATATAACTCACCATATGGTATGGCGATTCTGTACCACCTGCTACTTGGACCAGCTGGTATTTGCCACAATTTGGCCCTCTGAAATCTAAAAAAGTAGCTGGTTCTATGTGCAAAGAGAGGAAATAACGTTAAGTGCAAACTTTCCACAAACAACACTTTAGTTCTCTTTGTAGATGTGACAAATGTGCATTTTTTTTAAACAGTAAGTGTTGGCTTTTCTGAAGTGCTCATCATTGACCATACTCTGCTTCCATTGAAGTCAATGGTAAAACTCCTGGAGTATGTCTACATGGAACACTAAGCCCTAGGTATGACTCAGGTATAAGCCCAAGCTTCCACTTCCCTCCACACAGAAATCAGTCTGACTTGGGCCTGGAACTCCTCTGGACTTGGGCCTGTGGATCCTGTTAGGGGAGTGGGTTGGAGTACGAGTCCCACAGTGTGGATGCAGCTCAAGTCTGGGTCATGAGACTCAGGTCTGGAGAGTCTGCCAATGCTATCCTAAAACCTGCTGCATTTCCCAGCCCTTCCATCCCCAAACTTCCCACTCACGTCCCAGGAACCAGAAGCAACCTCCTGGTTCAAATGTAGCTGCTTGGCATTTAACCCTTCATTTCCATATGGACTGCTCAACTTGAAACAATTAACCTTCATGGGTATTAGCTATGGCCAGTATTAAGAAGAAGTCCAGCATCAAGTGTGCTGCTCGCTGGCCAGAGGAACACAACCAGATCCTGGTTACCTCTGATCTGAGACAAGAAAGACTCTCAATTTCAGCAAGAGCACAAGAAATGGACATTTCTACAAAGCTATATCTGAGCAGGTAGGGGTGTTGGGGATCGACCAGACAGCTGTACAATGCAGAGCGCAAATAGAGTGGCTGAAGACAGCCTACTGTCTAATGGCACCATTGGGAATTCCCCGTCTTCCTGCCTTGTTTACGAGGAATTTGACCGGATACTGGGAACTATAGTGAACACTGAGCCCACTGTGTTGAATGACAATGTGCTGAGCAAGGATGGCATCCTTATAACCTCCTCATCACAGGCAGTGCCAGAGGAGAGACAGCCATTGGATGAAGGGCAAGAAGTGACCCTCGTGTTGCGTCTGGTAACAGAAGAGGTTATGCTGCTGGAGCAGCTACAGCACATCCTCAGTCTCTTCGCTGAGGAGCTGGTTGGGCTGGCTCTGGGGAGCAGCTTGCTGCAGAACTGGCATCAGAACAAGCATTGGAACCAGAGTCAGAGCTGAAGCCTGTTAAGTTTCTGCTGCCCTGTTTGTTGTTGTTAATATGTGGATGGGAGAGATCTCTAGCTTGTGACCTTATTAAGTTATGAATACAAGCCATGGTTTTGGTCGGCTTCCATTCAGGCTGGAGCCCACACCATTTTCCTCACGTTCCCCACCCCCTCACTTTCCACCCGACACCACGTGGGGTTTAAAATGGACACTGTGAAATGAGGAAAACAGTTAAACATGCAGTTATGAATTTTTTTATTAGTTAATGGCTGTTTGTTATAAGTAGGGGTTGGGACTCCTCAATTAACAGCCTCACATTCCCCTCCCATCTTATATAGCACACCCTATAAATCACCCATGCCTGCAGTGTCCCACACAGCCTATAAACCAGTCCCCCCAAATCTGCCTGTTATGAGTCCAAACAAAACTGAAGTGTGTATTTGGTCCATAGGTGGCTTAAATATATGAGTCCAAATTACAGTGGAAGTTGGCTGTCTGGCTGTGTTAGCAGTCACTAGACGCAGTAGTTGGGTCTCTGCCTGGACACAGGGTGCTAGTAAGGAGGCTGTACTGTGTCTCCATGCTAAAATCAGTATCTTGTTGATTTTACCATGAATTTTCACCCTTGCTACCTGGTGCTGAAAGAAACTTCTCACAAAGTAGGAACTCCAAGAGCATGGAATACTTATTAGGGCCAATTCTGTAACTCATGAGCCTCCTCCACTCTGAGATATGCTGGCCAGTCAGTCACTAGTTACCTAAATAGTTCCTTAGCATAGACCAATAGTAGTCCTCTGATGATTCCACTTGGGGACATCCAGAATATCAATGTTCTCCAAGGCTTGCCCAGCGTGAAAGGATTGAAAAGCCATAGTTAGTGATTAGATTCATTGTAAGTCCGTCCCCTGCCCTCCCACTCCACTCCAGAAAAAAACAAGGGTGGGGAAGTAGAAATCATTTCAATTGAATTTTGTATATATATCTTACCAGGATGTGTGATGGCTTTCAGTGCTGCTCCAAAGGACATCTGAAGTGGCTGGTGTTTTTTGTGTGTGAATAAAATAAAGCCATTGGATAAAAAATATCAT